ACGAAAGCCCCCCCGACGGTAAGTCCGAGGGCACGTCTAGGATGGCCGTGCAGGGTTTCAAGATTAAGAGCCTTGGACACTATCGACGCGGTGCACCGACGGCTTCGAAGTTGGCGGAGGCTATGGCATTGCTAGTGATAGCTCGTTCCGGCATGGTCATGAGTTGCCGAGACATCAAGGATGCGCATGTCTCAAGTTGGTATCGGTCGGGGGGCTTGCGTCAGCCAGCCGCGCGGAGGTCTCCAAGGACTTCATCTCCGACAGTTGTTCAAGGCCAAGAAGGCGATCTACGGCCTCGCCGAGGCCGTCCGTTTGTTTTTTCTAGCTTCCCGCGCGGCGCTCGAGGCGGACGGGTGCGCGCAGTGTGTGTTGGAACCCGTTTTGTTCTGCGGGGCTCGACTGGCGGCTCGGCGCGCATCCCGCGCGCGCGCGTGGGCGACCTGTTGGCTAGGGAGTTTTGGCGGAAGTCGAGGAGGCAGCGATCAAGTGCGCGCGGAAGAAGTTGGATTACTCGGAGTGGTTGAGGGGGAAATTTGCACCTCGAGGACGCGAGACCCGACGACTACCGAACGGAGACGTCGGAGTGATGATGAAGGGCTACTCGCTGAATGCGAAGGCAGTGACAATCCTCAGAGACCAAGAAGGAGCTCGGGAGCCCGCCGACGGACGCAGAGGCGACATCTCTGCGAAAGGCTACGGGAGTGATCGTGCTTACCGCGTCAGCTGCGAGCAGATTTGGCATTTCAGGCTGGACAAGCACAGCGAGCTATGGTCGCGCGCTGCGTGGCCGACTTTGCAAAGATCAGCGAGGCGATCAACGACGACAAGAGAGGCGTGGGCAACGCGCGGAAATTCCCGACCATCGTCGACCTCGGGAAGGCCGCGGCGCTCATCATGTGCGACTCCAGCCGCGCGAATGGCAAACCCGAGAGCGATGAGATTTCAATATGCAAGAGCACCGGGGGCCACGTGATGTTCATTGCGGAGTGCGAAGTGCTGAGTGGCACTCTGGTGAAGCCTGCGATGATGAACTACAATTCGAAGTCGACCCAGCGAGTGCGCAGGGATACGGCGGCGGCAGAGGCATCACACCTGGCCGATTCCTTGGATGCTGGGGAGCGGCTGCGCGCATAGCTCGAGGAGGCTTTTCGTGGAGAAGCTCGACCTCAAGAGATGGCAGGACATCGTCGCGAGAAGGAGGCGCTTGTCTCTCACGGATGCGAGATCAGCACGCGACTACCTGCCGAAGGAGGGGTCAGGCTTGAGCCGAGACAAGAGGATGGCGATCGAGTGAGTTCATCGGAGGGAAGCTTTGTGACAGCCCAACGCAGAGTTGATGGCGCGCAGAAAATGTCGGACATTGTTACCGAAGAGAGAGTTGACTTGGAGCATCTCCGACAGTACATGAGAAAGTGCCAGTTCACGATTCAGCGGGACAACCAAGCCGCGAATATCCAAGGACAAGAGGAAGAGCGCCCATAGAGCTGCGAGGATGACGGAGAAGCCAGACAGGAACATCGAACATAGGTGACGGAGAGAGAAGATGGTAGCTTCGCTGGAGCCCGAGGATGGTCAAAACGATGGCGCCGAGAGGCCAGAGGTTACATATATAGATAGTGAGTCTGCAATTCCCTGGAGGAAGCGCCATGAGCTTTCTGCGCGCCTAGCCTCTGCCCCCTCCCCCATGTAATTGTCCTGCCCGTGCCTTGTTCCAGTGCCCGTGCTCCCCTGCGCTGCTCTCGCTCGCTTCCGCCGCTGCTTCGGCCCGTCAGGTCGGCCGCGGAGCCTTTTCTGCCTGTGCTGGGCGACTGCCGTCGCCCCCGCGCGCAGTAAGCTGGCGGCCCGCTTGCAGGGGCAGCGAAGAACAGTAACGATCGGCGCCCTCGTTGATGATTCTTTTCGGATGCGGGGGCGCCCGATGCGGTGAAAGTCCAGGCCCGCTCGGGCCATGACCCCGCGGCCCTCGAGGGCCTTGAGAGGCTCGAGGTCCTCGGGAACGCCCAGGCCGACCACGAGGCCGAAGCTGGAGCTGCGTCGGATGACCTCCCTACCTGGCTAGCGAAAGCCTGGCGGGGGCAGTAAGATGGCGCAGCTTTGCGGCCAGCATGACCATGCGCGTTCGCGCCTTTGGAGACACCGCCGGCCGTCAGAACCAAAGGGGGGGGGGGGGGCGCGGGAGAGGCGTCGGGTTCGGGTTGGACCGCCTCCCGGGGCCCCCCCTTACTCCTTCCTCTGGGAGAACATGGCCATGGCGTGGCGGCGTCATAACTGGGACTGTGGAATGCACGCCCGCACCTTGAAGGGCACGAGAACTTCCACAGGACGCCTTGCGGACAGGCGCCTGCGAGGGATGCCCCACTCCATTTTCGCCCGCCCCGAGGGCGACACCCCAGCAGCTGCCGTTGCGCCGTCACGTGTTCTTGTGTGCTGGCAATTCCCTGGTTTGTGGCAATTGTGGGGCCTTCTCGAGCGGCACGGCTAAGAGGATCCTTCAGACTGGCGAGGGCGAGCCTGCCAACTCCCAGCCCAAGTGCATGCGAAGCAAGTTTTGCGGGGCCAGCGCCCTTACAGTGCGAACCGATTGTTGATGTAGGAGACCATTCTGCCACGGTGCTCATGTGAATCGAGGTGGGGCGGCGTGAGGCCATCCGCAGGTCATGTTGCGTCGAGGCAGAGTGTGCCTGAACGCCTGAGTCGCTCGCCGTCGTGAAAACACAGCGCGGGGTGAGTTTCTGAAGGCGTGGAGTAAGTTACGTCTGGAGCAAGGACATGCGGGGTGAGTTCGCCCACGACGGCGGAGTACGTTTTCCGCGTGAAAAATAGTGCGGGCAAGTCTTTACACGGTAATGAACATATTACCCCAGTGCGACCCTACCTAGAAGTTGGAGCCCCTAGGAAAACAGCATTAGTTGCTATGCTACGCTATGCTATACCATGCTATGCTGCGCTATGCTATGATATGCAATGATATGCTATGCTGCGCTATGCTATGTTATGTTAAGCTATGCTTTGTCATGCTGCGCTGTGCTATGCTATGGTTTGCTATGCTATGCTAATCTGCGCTATGATATGCAATGTTATGATATTGTATGATATGATATGCTGTGTTGCGCTATGCTATGCTATGATATGCTATGTTTGGCTATGTTATGATAAGCTAAGCTAAGATGAGATAAGCAACGTTAAGCTAAGGGGACGTAATTGGGGGAACCGCCCAGGCCAGTTCCCACTGCCCGGCCCTTTAAGCCAAGAGAGTAAGAACCCTTCTAGGCAGAGCCTAGGTAGGGAATAATACCTGAAAACATGTGGGCGTGGGCCGAAGCCTACTCCGCCGCCGCCGGACCCCGCGCTAGAGGATCCTACGGGGGGAAGTGGGTCGCACGTCTACAGGCATGGTCGAAACTTTCGGAACGCCAGTGTAGCCAACGTCTGTGTGAGGGCCATGCGGTCGCCCCCTCGTCGCAGGAGAATGCTGAGATACATGGGGCGTTCCAACAAGGGCCTTGCCTGCGAGGATCGAAGGGGTTACCATTTCTTCCTCGGCGGAAGGGCGGCGGAAGGTCGGCGGAAGTATAACGAGGCCGCTTCCGCCGGCGGAAGCCAGCGGAAGCCAGCGGAAGACTGGCGGAAGATTGGCGGAAGTCGTCGGAAGCAAAAAATGCGCCCCCAAGAGATGAAAACGTTTTTTGGTTCATGGTTTCCAGAGTCCGCCACATGTTCTCCTGCAAGGGTGAGTTCCGCGGGTGGCGTAAGTGGTCAGTGGGTCATTCGTCGGCCTGGCCCAAAACAGACCAAAGCGCCACCCCGCGGGGCTGTCAGTGACCTCGGTGAGCTAGGTCGCGCCACTCGAGGAAGTCGCCCACACACACACACACACTCCTCCTCCTCCTCCTCCTCCTCCTCCTCCTCCTCCTCCTCCTCATCATCATCATCATCATCATCATCCTTCTCCTCCTCCTCCTCCTCCTCCTCTCCTCCTCTTCCTCCTCCTCCTCCTCCTCCTCCTCCTCCTCCTCCTCCTCCTCCCCCCCCCCCCTCCTCCTCCTCCTCCTTCACAGCCTCCACCTTCACCTCCTCCTCACCTCCTTTTCCTCCTCCTTCTCCTCCACCCACTCCCGCGTCCCTTGAGAATGAGAGGGGGTGTGGGGGACGGCAAGAGGAGGATTGAGCAAGATGATGCGCACGAGGATAACCTCATCCCCATTATCCACACCTGTGCTTGGGCATCGGCATCCTCATCCTCTTGCTCCTGGTCATTATCCTCTGTCTCTTCCTTCCTTCCTTCTCCTTTTCCTCCTCCTCCTCCAAGACCTGCGTATCCTCCCGATAACCCCAGTCACAGTCGAAAGTCGTTGAAACAAATCGAAGCTCTTCCTTTCCCTTTCCTCCGTACCCCTCCCCTCGCCCACCTGCGCGTATTCCCTCGTGCGCGGGGACATGGGGACTACGAAAACGATGACGACGACGACGACGACGACGACGACGACGACGACGGCGGCGACGGCGGCGACCGACGACGACGACGAGGACGACGACGACGACGACGACGACGACGACGGCAACGGCGGCGACATTGACGACGACGACGACGACGACGACGACGACGACGACGAACGACAGCGACGACAACGACGACGACGATGGCGACGACGACGACAACGACGACGACGATGGCGACGACGACGACGACGATGACGACGACGACGACGACGACGACGACGACGACGGCGACGACGACGACAACGTACGACGACGACGACAACGACGGCGGCGAGGACGACGACGCTGGCGACGATGACGATGACGATGTCGACGACGACGACGACGATAACGACGACGAGGACGACGACAACGACAACGACAACGACGACGACTACGACGACGGGTGACGACGACGACGTCGACGACGACTACGACGACGGCGGCGACGACGACCGACGACGACGACGACGACGGACGACGACGACGACGAAGACGACGACCGACGACCGACCGGCGAGGCCGAGGAGGTCGGCCGCGCATCGCGGCCGAGGGACGACGGCCCTGGCTGCTGGGAGCTGCAGGTGTACTCGCGGACGCACTGCTGCGACCGGCGATTCGCGCCGCCCAACTCGCGCTGCTTCGACACGCTGGAGATCGTCCTCGTCTTCCGTCCTCCTTGTTGTCGTCGTGGTCGTTGCCGTCGTGGGCGCGGTCGTTTAGGAGGACGTCCGCGCCGTCGCCGTGGTTGTCCTTGCATATGCATATATACATATATGGTCGCCCCTCCTGTGATCGTACATCATGCTCCTCCTCCTCTGCTTCTTCTTCCTCCTCCTCCTCCTCCTCCTCCCTCCTCCTCCTCCTATGATCGCGCCGCCTCCTCCTCCTCCTCCTCCTCCTCCTCCTCCTCCTCCTCCTCCTCCCCTTGCTCCTCCTCTCTCTTTCTCTCACTTTCTCTCTCTTTCTCTCTTTCTGTCGATTTCCCATTCTCGGGACACTTGCCGTTGCACAACGTTGTGTTTTCCAGATTTTCCAGATATTCCAGATCTCCCCAGAGACTCCCCTGGTGAAGAACCCTGTGTTTTCTAGATTTTCCCGATTTTCCAGATCTCTCCAGAGACTACCCTGGTGAAAAACCATGTGTTTTCCAAATTTTGCAGATTTTCCAGATCTCCCCAGAGACTACCCTGGTGAAAACCAGGTGTTTTCCAAAATTTCCAAATATTCCAGATCTCCCCAGAGATTACCCTGATGAAAAGCCATGTGTTTTCCGAATGTTCCAGATTTTCCAAATCTCCCCAGAGACTCCCCTGGCGAAAAAACATGTATTTTCATGATTTTCCAAATTTTCCAGATCTCGCATGAAAAAAACATGTGTCTTCCAGATTTTCCAAATATGTCCAGCGGAATTGCTGGAAATATTTGGTAAATGTGGAAAATCGGGAAAACACATTTTTTTCCGCCAGGGGAGTCTCTGGGGAGATTTGGAAAATCTGGAAAATTTGGAAAACACATGGTTGTTCACCAGGGTAGTCTCTGGGGAGATCTGGGAAACCTGGAACATCTGGAACACACATTTCACCAGTGTAGTCTCTGGGGAGATGTTGAATATGTGGTAAATCTGGAGGACACATGGTTTGTCACCAGGGTAGTCTCTGGGAAGATTTGGAAATTTGGAAAATCCTGAAAGCACAACATTATGGAAGTGGTGGCGGAAAGCAATCCCATCATCTCCTGTCTTGGTGCGGTTCAGGACTTCCTTGAGCGTGGGGGGGGGCGCCCTTGGGGCTGAGCACACGCGAAGTGCAGCTCGAGCCGAGCAGACCACCCCTGGTCGATCTGCGCCACGCCGCCCGTGATCGGGATCATGGCGCGGAGCAGGCTTGACTGGGACCGAGCTTAAAGCAAAGGCCCTTGCGCCAGCGTGCCTACGGACATGTTGTGCTTTCTCTCTGTCTGTCCTCGAGAGAAGTTGTTCGACCTTCAACCTTCGAACGCCCCGCACGAACCACAGTAAACAAAGTAAACAACTCATAAATGAAGCCGCCGTCGGCAGAGAGACAACGACAAGAAAATGCAATGAAGAGGACAACAGGGAACGAGCATGGAGGGAGAAGGAGGGGAGAGGATGGGGAGGGAGATATGGTGGAGGAGGAGGAGGAGGAGGAGGAGTCTCTGGGGAGATCTGGGATATCTGGAAAAGATGGAAACCACAGTGCTTTTTCACCAGAGCAGTTTCTGGGGAGATCTGGAACATTTGGGACATCTGGAAAACATAAGGTTTTTCACCAGGGTAGTCTCTCGGGAGATTTGGAAAATGTGTAAAATCTTGAAAACACATGGTGATTCACCAGGGGAGTCTCTGGGGAGATTTGGAATATTTGGGAAATCTGGAAAGCACAAGGTTTTTCACCAGGGGAGTCTCTGGTGAGATTTTGGAAATTTGGGAAATCTGGAAACACATGGTTTTTCACCAGGGGAGTCTCTGGTGAGATTTGGGGTATCTGGGAAAAGTTGGAAACCCACATAGTTGTTCACAAGGGTAGTCTCTGGGGAGACTTGGGAAATCTGGGAAATCTGGAAAACACATGGTTTTTCACAAGGGTAGTCTCTGGGGAGATTTGGAAAACCTGGAAATGGTTTTTCACCAGGGGGGTGGCCGGGAAGATTTTGACTATCTGGAACATCTGGAAACCACATGGTTATTCACCAGGGGAGTCTGGGGAGATCTGGAAAATTTGGAAATCTTGACAACACGTGGTTTTTCACCAGGGTAGTCTCTGGGGAGATCTGGAACATCTGGAAACACACAAGTTTTTCACACAGGGAGTCTCTGGGGAGATTTGGGATATTTGGAACACCTGGAAACACATGGTTGTTCATCAGGAGAGTGTCTGGGGAGATCTGCTGGAGTATTTGGAAAATCTTGAAATCACATGGTTGTTCACCAGGGTATTCTCTGGGGAGATCTGGAACATTTGGGACATCTTGAAAACGCAACGTTTTTCACCAGGGTAGTCTCTGAGGAGATTTGGAAAATCTTGAAAACACATGGTTGTTCACCAGGGGAGTCTCTGGGGAGATCTGGACAATTTGGAAAATTTGGAAAACACATTGTTTTTCACCAGGGTAGTCTCTGGGGAGATCTGGAAAACCTGGGAAATCTGGAAAACACATGCTTCTTCCACCAGCGTGGTCTCTGGGGAGATGTGGAATATGTGGAAACTCTGGAGGACACCTGGTTTTTCACCAGGGTAGTCTCTGGGGAGATTTGGAAATTTGGAAAATCTGGAAAGCACAACCTTTTGGTAGTGGTGCGGTTCAGGACTTCCTTGAGCGTGGGGGGGCGCCCTTGGGGCTGAGCACACGCGAAGTGCAGCTCAAGCCGAGCAGACCCCCCCTGGTCGATCTGCGCCACGCCGCCCGTGATCGGGATCATGGCGCGGAGCAGGCTTGACTGGGACCGAGCTTAAAGCAAAGGCCCTTGCGCCAGCGTGCCTACGGACATGTTGTGCTTTCTCTCTGTCTGTCCTCGAGAGAAGTTGTTCGACCCTCAACCTTCGAACGCCCCGCACGAACCACAGTAAACAAAGTAAACAAATCATAAATGAAGCCGCCGTCGGCAGAGAGACAACGACAAGAAAATGCCATGAAGAGGACAACAGGGAACGAGCATGGAGGGAGAAGGAGGGGAGAGGATGGGGAGGGAGATAAGGAGGAGGAGGAGGAGGAGGAGGAGGAGGAGGAGGACGGGGACGAGGAGGACTGGGACGAGGAGGAGGAGGAGGAGGAGGAGGACAGGGATGAGAACGAGGAGGAGGACGAAGACCAGAAGGAGATGAGTATGGGAAAAGGAGAAGAAAGGATGAGGGGAGATGATGGGGAGGGAGAGGAGGAAGATGAGGAGGCTGTTCGACCGTCAACCTTCGAACGCCCTGCAAGGACCACGGTAAACAAAGTCAAAAGTAATAAATGAAGCCGCCGTCGGCAGAGAGACAACGACAAGAAACAGGTACGAAGAGGACAAGAGGGAACGGGCATGGAGGGAGGAGGAAGGGAGAGGATGGGGAGGGAGAGAAGGAGGAGGAAGAGGAGGAGGAGGGAAGAGGGAGGAGGAGGAGGAGGAGGAGGACGGGGACGAGGAGGAGGAGGATGACAGGGATGAGAACGAGGAGGAGGAGGATGAGGAGGAGGAGGAAGACCAGAAGGAGACGACGACTAGGGGAAAAGGAGACGAAAGGATGAGGGGAGATGATGGGATGGAGAGGAGGGTGATGAGGAAGAGGAGGGGGGCGACGACGACGAGGACGAGGATGGGGAGAAGGATGATTAGGATGAGGAGAAAGAAGGTGACATGCATGATCACAGGGGGGCGCATGTATATGTATGTATGTATGTATGTTTATATATATATATGATTGCAGTGATTCCTCGACGCGCGTGGGCTCTGGCTTCAAGCTCTCATTCGCCGGGCGCCTCCGCGCGCCCGTCTCTCCCTCGCCTCCTCCCGCGGATGCTCGCTTCGCTCCTGGCGGCGGCGGCGTCCTCGTGCGGCCGGCGGGCGCGAGCTGCCCCCCTGGCCGAGGCGGCGGCCTCCCTCGGCGGCCCGGCGGCCGGGCCCGCTGTGCAGACCGTCAACGTGCACTTGACCCCTTACGGGGCCGGCGGCGCGCCGGCCAGCCCGGCCCCTGGCGCGGGCCCTGCGACCCGCGACGTGGGCACGCAGACGGAGCCCGAGGAGCCGGCGCCCCGATCGGCCCCGGCGGCTCCGACCCGCGCGCCCCGGGCGGCGCGCGTCGAGGCCTGGGCCTACGCGGTCTGGGCGAGCCCGGCGGCCCAGGACCTCGTGGGGGTCCACTGCGGCGCCAGGCGGGCCTGGGACGCCATCGCCGGGCGGACCGGCGGCTACCGCTACTTCCGCAGCGACCGCTTCCGCCGCTTCGCCTCGGAGGACGAGGCGGTCGCGGGCTACCTCGCCGAGGCCGACCGCCACGGCGCGCCGCCGCCGCCGCCCTTCCACCGCTGGTGAGGATGGCCCTCGAGGAGGACGTCTTCGACACGGGCGAGGGGGAGGTCGACGACCCAGGGGCGTGGTTCGAGCAGGCCACGCCGCAGTACGTGGCGGCCACCGTCCACCTCTTTCCTGCCAGCCCCCACCGCTGGGGGAGTGGCTGGGGAGTTCGGGTTCCTCACGCTGAAGGACAGCGTCGACTCGGACTACGAGGTCACTGTGGCGGCGCTGCGGGTGCGGGCCGACACCCTCTCTACCGTGGCGGTGGCGCCGTCCGGCAGGCTCGACACGGTATACGAGGCGATGCTGCTGCCTGCCTGGGATCGCGCCGGGACGCCTCTGGACGGCCAGCTGCTGTCGGCCGAGATCATGGAGACCCCGAGCGCCCTGGTGCGGCGCTTTGCTTCCGCGCCCCCAGCCGAGGGCGAGGTCTACGCCTTCCACGACGACGGCTGGTGGCCCGAGCCCGAGGCCGCCGTGAGCGGGGTCCCGGCCGAGATGCTGGCCACCCTGGACTCCCTGCAGGGCGCGGGCGAGCCCGAGCTTGCGGCGGCGAGCGCTCCGCCTGTGCTGGGGCCTGCGCTGCGCCCCCCTCTGGTGCCCGGGCCGCAGCTAGCGGCTGGCGTGGCTGGGTTCGCCGCGTGGCACTCCGGAGAGGCCTCCCCGCTCGCCCCAGCCGCCACGACGCCGCCGAACGAGCTCGCCGAGCAGCAGCGGGCCAACGTGCTCGAGGACGCGAGGAGGTTGGCTGCCGAGGTGGAGGAGCTGAAGCGCCAGCGGGAGGTTTTGTAGGCGGAGACGGCGGCCCGCGGGCAGCCGAAGCCGGCCGCTCGCAAGGCCCCCACCAGGAAGGCCTCGCCACGGCAGCCGCAGCAGCAGCAGCAGCAGCAGCAGCAGCAGCAGCAGCAGCAGCAGCAGCAGCAGGTCCTGGAGCAGATCCTGGCTGGGCAGAACGCGCTCCTGGCGAGGGTCACAGCCCTGGAGGCCGGCGGCGGCCCGACTCGGAAGGCGGCCCCCCCGTTCGACGCCCTCCCGCAGCAGGCGGCCGGCCTGCAGCCAGGCGTGGCTCCGCGTTGGGGCTTCCTCGGCCCGCCTCCCCCCGTCGGGCCTCCGTCCGCGGCGCACGGGGGCGGGGTGCTGACCCCCCTGCAGGGGCCCGCCCGACGCTCGCGCCGCGGCCGTGGCCGCCGGGCCACCTCCGCCTCGCCGGGGAGGAGCGCCGAACCCTTTCCTGCAGAGGCCCCCCTCGGGCCAGGCGGCAGCGGGCGTCTCGGGGCCTCCTTCGGTGGCGGGCTTTCCGTCCCAGCACCCGCGTGGCCAGGCCCCTCCGTCAGCGGGCCAGACCGCGGGGCCCCAGCTCCAGGGCGCCCCCGCTGGCTCCGGCGGCCGCGAGGAGCAGCTGATGGCCCTTCTGTCCCAGAAGACGTCACTGCTGGGGGCCCTTGCTCAGAGCAGCGGGTGCCAGCCGGACACGCTGTCGTTCCTGGCGGACGGCGGGCGCGACGACGGGCTTGGCGAGAACGCTGGCATGAGGCTTGGAGGCGCGCGCGGTGCCGCTGCGCTCGAGCTGTTTTGCCGCCAGGTCCAAGGCGCCCCCCGGGCCATCTCCGCCATGGCGAGGCGGAACCGCCAGCTCAACATGACGGGGGCCGCGAGCGAGGAGGGCACGAGCGGCTCCACGCGGAATTACTTTGCTCGGAACGTCCCATTCGGGCAGGCGAGGTCGTCGGCATTCCTGGTCTTCGGCATGGCGGAGGTGTTCGACCTGATGGAGCGCGGCGCGTGGCATGCAGCCGAGGCTCAGCTGGCGCTCCTCCTCTGCGCGTCGGAACAGGCAGCCCTGCGGGAGTGGCGCTGGACGTCAGCCTGGCTGCTGACACACCTCCCCGAGCCTCCCTGGACTTCGATCCGCCAGGCGCCGGCGCGCGGGCAGATCCGCCCCATGTCTCGCCTGGCCTCGCTCGAGTGGGTCGCGGCAGCGATCGGCTACACCAAGGACACCCTGGCCCTCGAGGGCGCGGGGCGGAAGCTGGCGCCAGCCCCCGCACCGAAGACCGAGGAGGGCGGGGGCAAAGGCGGGGGCTCGAAGCGCCACTGCAAGGCCAGTGGCGCGCCCCCTCACGAGTGAGAGCGGGGCCCCCCCGGCCTGGCGGCCGGGGAGCTCTGCACGAGGCGGCCCCAGCCCACCTGCCGCGCGGACGCGCGGGGGAGCGCAGGAGGCTGGTTGGCGGCGACAATTCGATGGACGTGGGCATCCGCTGGGGCTTTGGTCTGATCCGCCGCCTGCGCGGGCTCCGCACGGCCTTCGGCGCCTTCGTCCGCTCTTCCATGCACGCCGCTGGGGCCCAGGAGGTTGCGACTCCTGCCGCCGGTCTGCTGCCCTGCCCCCCGCCCTTCGGGTGGGCTGCTGGAACCCCTCCGCGGGGCGCGCGTGCCCGCAGGAGATGGCTTCGCTCCCACGTCGAGCACATGTGGGTCAACGCCATCGTCCTCGCGCTCTCCCACTTGCACCTGGGCGAGACGCGGAGCTGCCCGCCGCGCGCCCGTGCTGGGGGCCTCTCAGCCCCTCTCAGTCTGAGATGGCGTCCAGGTTGAGGAGGCTCGCGCGACCGATGTGCCGGCCCCTGCAATTGTAAGGTGGCCGCGTGGAGAAGGCCGAGGCTCTTCTCGACTATCTCCTGAATGCGACGCATGTCCCCCTGGTCGCCGAAGCGCCCCCCCCCGACAGCGAGGTGTATAATGGCCATCGACCCGAGCAAGGCCCCCTTCGCCAAGTCCGAGTGCCTCTTAGACCCCCTGGCCTTCCTGGACCCTGTCTCCGCCGCCGCCTTCCTGGAGCCGCGGCTGCTGGCGCGGGACGGGCCCGGCGCTGGCCCTCTGGCGCGGGCTGCGGGGCCCCCGGCCCGGCCAGCCCCTCCGACTGGGCTGGTCTTAGTGGTATCGAAGGTATCGTCTTGCCTGCCTGCACGACGCTTCGGCACCGCTCGCACGTCGTGGCCCAGGAGGAGGGGGAGAAGGAGGAGGAGGGGGGGGAAAGAAGAAGGAGGAGGACGAGGAGGAGAAGGAGGAGAAGGAGTAGGATGAGGAGGAGGAGGAGGATAAGTTGCCGCCAGCAATGTTTCTTACGTAAGGCAAGCCAAGTGGCAAGCCAAGCCAAGTGACGCCAACATGTTCTTAACGCAGTAGAACATGTTGGCGTCAGGGGCTGCAGTTGTGATGAGCTGCATGGAGTGCAGGGGAGGAGGAGGAGGAGGGGGAGGGAAGAGGAGGAGGAGGGAGGAGGGAGGAGGAGGGAGGAGGAGTGAGGACGAGGGAGGAGGGGGGAGGAGGAGGGGGGAGGGGGTTCTGACGCTTTTCGTTTTTTCCTGGTCCTCTTCGGCTGGTTCGGCCTTTCCTGACGCCCTCGTCGCCGCGGCTGGATCTGCCTCCCCTCCTAGGACTTCCCCCCCCTCCTCGCCGTGCTGAACTGCGATGTGCCATGCCGCGAGTGTGCTCTATATAGCGTTGTGGATCGAGTCCTCCCTGGCATTCGGGTCCTCACCGAACTGATCTGGAGCGTAAGCTCGAGCTGCCTCAGCACATAGTAGCTGCCCCAGAACCAATCGACAGAGGGAACATGCCAGGAGGACGCGCCGCGGAACGTCCCAAGGGACGCGCCAGGCGACGTGCCAGGGGACGTGCCATGGGCACGCACCGCGGGACGTGCCAAGGGGACGCGCTACGGAACGTGCCAATGGACGTGCCGGGACGTGCCAGGGGACGCGCCGCGCGACGTGCCAGGTGGACTCGCCACGGAACGCGCCAAGGAACGTGCCAAGGTGCATAGTTGAGTGTATCGATCTTGATGTACCGTGCCGACGGCTGTGCTGTGCTGGGCCGTGCTGAACTGCGATGTGCCATGCCGCGATTGTGCTCTATATAGCGTTGTGGATCGAGTCCTCCCTGGCATCCGAGTCCTCACCGAACTGATCTGGATCGTAAGCTCGAGCTGCCTGAGCAGATGGTAGCTGCCCCAGAACCAATCGACAGAGGGAACATGCCAGGAGGACGCGCCGCGGAACGTCCCAAGGGACGCGCCAGGCGACGTGACAGGGGACGTGCCATGGGCACGCACCGCGGGACGTGCCAAGGGGACGCGCTACGGAACGTGCCAATGGACGTGCACCGCGCGACGTGCCAGGGGGGCTCGCCACGGGACGCTCCGCGGAACGTGCCAGGCAACATGCCAGGCTGCAATGCTAAGGGTATCGATGTTGATGTACCGTACCGAGGGCTGTGCTGTGCCTGGGCGACCTGGACATGTGAAAACACGCGTTTCGCTCAAGACGTTGTCAGCACATCCTCATGCTAGACATCAGCCTGGGCAACCTGGACACGTGCAAACAAGCGTCTCGTTCGAGACATCCTCGACAAATGCTCATGCTAGACATCCGCCTGGGCGATCTGGACACGTGAAAATAAGCCTCTGGTTCGAGACATCCTCAACAAATCCTCATGCTAGACATCTGTCTGGGCCACCTGGAGGCGTGAAACCAAGCGTCTCGCTCGAGACATCCTCAAGACCTGGGCACGTGAAAACAAGCAATCCACTTGAGAGATCCTCAGAATTCAGGTCCCCAGGAGAGGACAATCTACAACACAAAACAAGCGTTTCGCTCGAGACATCCTCAATAAATTCTGAAAAACAAGCGTTTCGCTAGGGACATCCTCAAATTTTAATTCGCCGGCCCTCTTCCCACTCGTTATTTATCGCAAAAGAAATTCGCCGGCCCTCTTCCCGTCAAACCCGGGGGGAAACCATCTAAAAGAGAACCCTGGGCTCAAGCCCTTTCCGGGACATGATGGACCCACGAACCCGGAAAGGGATATAGACATGTGCAGCATGGTCACGTTTTCACGATATCCAACTGGGCGACACCTCACGAAACATCCCACGAGACACCCCGCGAAACATCCCAGGAGACACCTCACGAAACAACCCACGAGACACCTCACGAAACATTCCACGAGACACCCCGTGAAACATTCCACGAGACACCCCACGAACAGGCAACCACTCAACCAGACACCCCACGAAACATTCCACGGGGGTGCGACTGGGTGTGTGGTCGTGCTGGAGTATGGTCGTGTGGGGTGTGGTCGTGCTGGGGTGTGGTCGTGCTGGGGGGTGGTCGTGCTGGGGGGTGGTCGTGCTCGGGGGGTGGTCGTGCTGGGGGATGGTCGTGCTGGGGCGTGGTCGTGCTGGGGCGTGGTCGTGCTGGGGCGTGGTCGTGCTGGGGTGTGGTCGTGTTGGGGTGTGGTCGTGCTGGGGCGTGGTCGTGCTGGGGTGGGTGCTGGAGTGTGGTCGTGTTGGGGTGTGGTCGTGCTGGGGCGTGGTCGTGCTGGGGTGGGGTCGTGGTGGAGTGGGGTCGTGCTGGGGTGTGGTCGTGCTGGGGTGGTCCGAACCCTGTGACTTATCGATCGGGTCGTGCTGGGGTGTGGTCGTGCTGGTGCTGGGGTGTGGTCGTGCTGGGGTGTGGTCGTGCTGGGGTCCTGCTGGGGTGTGGTCGTGCTGGGGTGTCGTGCTAGGGGGTAGAAAAAACAAATTCTGAAAAACAAGCGTTTCGCTCGAGACATCCTCGACAAATTCTGAAAAACAAGCGTTTCGCTCGAGACATCCTTAAATTTTAATTCGCCGGCAATTCGCCGGCCTCCTTCAACCTCGTTATTTATCAGGGAAAAAATTCGCGGGCAATTCGCCGGCCTCCTTCAAGCAGGCACCGGGGGACTAGTTTACATACTAAAAGAGAACCCTGGGCTTAAGCCCTTTCCGGGAAAAAAAAGAAAACGCGTAGGCATGCACGGCCTCTCCCGACACGGCACGCACAATCATCATGAGAACCCTGGGCTCAAGCCCTTTCCGGGAAAAAAAGAAAACGCGTAGGCATGCACGGCCTCTCCCGACACGGCACGCACCATCATCATTACCATTGGGGTTTTACCCATGGGGTTTAAGTGAAACATAGGGGCCTTAAGTGAAACAAAATGAAACAAGGGGGACGTGGTTCCACCACGTTTATATGTGGATTGCAGGGGGAACGTGGTTCCACCACGTTTTTATGTGGATCGCAGGGGGTACGATCGCGTCGTGGTCGTGGTCGTCGTCGTCGTCCTTGACGTCGTCGTCTCCCCCTGTGGCCGAACCAGCCGACCTCGTCGTCGTGGTCGTCGTAGTGCTCATCGTTGTCATCTACGTCGTCGTCGTCGTCGTCGTCGTCGTCGTCGTCGTCGTCGTCGTCGTCGTCTCCTCCCCCCCTCCTCCCCTCGCCGGCCCCTCGCCGACGACGTCGACCGCGTCGACCACCGCCGCGTCGACCACCTGCCGGCGCGCCGGAGGCGGCCCGGCGGGGGCGGCGCCCGCGCGAGGGGGAGGAGGATAAGAAGTGGGAGGAGGAGGGGGGAAGGGAGGCTCTTGGAGTCACAGCTTGTTGGAGGATGAGTAGGAGGAAGAGGTGAGGGGAGGGGGAGGAGGCGAAGACAGGAGGGGCGAGGGGAGGAGGGTGAGGGAGGGGGGGGAGGGTTAGGGAGGGTGAGGGAGGGTGAGGGGAAGGGGGGAGGCTGAGGAGGGGGAGGGTGAGGGGAGGGGGGGAGGGTGAGGGAGGGTGACCAGGGGCGAAGAGGTTATCCCACCAGCCCTCTGGGCGTAGGTGGTTTAGAGACGGAGGGGTTAGAGCGTCCAAGATGGCCCAAGATGGCTCCAAGAGGCCCTCCGAGAGCCCAAGATGGCGCACGATAGCTCAAGATGGCTCAAGATAATCTCCGACATACCTCCAAGAGGCCCCGAGACGGCCCCAAGACGAATTCAAGTGCCCACCGAGCCCTCCAAGGACCCCTCTGAGAGGCCCAAATGGCTCCAAAACTTAAGGAAAATCAGTGTTTTTGGCCTTCTCGCCTTTTCGCTTCCGATGGGCCTCGGATGCCTCAAGATCGCCCCAAGATGGCCCAAGAGAGCCCCAAGAGGGGCCCAAGAGGCACCAAGAGGGCCCCAAGAACGCCCAAGCGCCCCAAGAGAGCCCCGCCCCAAGAAGAGGGCCCCAAGACGGCCTTTGAGCCTCCGATGGGGGGGGGGGGGGCTGAGCCATGGGGCCCAAAGCGGTCCCAAGAGACCTCTCAGACTCCCCCAAAGAGCCCCAAGAGGGCCCCAATATGGCCCCGAAAGAGCCCCAAGAGGGCCCCAAGAGGGCCCCAAGAGGACCCCAACAGGACCCCAAGAGGACCCCAAGAGAGCCCCAAGATGGCCACAAGAGACCTCCGAGAGCCTCTCGCAACAACACCTCAACTCGCCTGGCGATTGTTTCTGGATGGGCTGGTGGGGATACGCGAAGCGTTAAGGATTTTGGCGAGCAGGCACGGTCGCACTCTGGGAGTGGCTATCCCCTCCTTCCGAGCCTCGCTCGGGCGGCAGCTAGCTACTAGGCACTCGTTTCATCCTGCCTCCTCATCCTTCTCCTCATCCTCCCCCCCCCTCCCCCTGCTCCCCTCAGCCGGCTCGGAACCCCACCAGAGCGCGGCAAGACCGGGACCTCAGACCTCAGTCGAAGTAGGGAAACACAGGA